ACAGAAGTGTCCTCTGGCACAGAAACCTCCACAGATAAAAGTCTGCTCAAAAACACTGCACGACAAGCTCCTGCGTTCCTTGTGACTGCCTGCCTCACTCCCAGGGCCTCCCATCTGCTCTGTGATGGAGGTGGCCTTCAGCCCACTTCCATCAGCCTGAGGTTCTCTGCCTCATAGCGCCGGGCCTTGTACTTGCTGGCTACAGTAGGAAAACCAGCACAGCTCTTCTCACAGCAATACAAGGCAGGGTCCGAGCCGTCAATGAATACAGCTGTCAGAAAAAAAACATAATTATCACCACAACTTTTCAAATAAATAAAATGCAGGGCTGTGCTAAAGCTCTGAATCATTAATGGGGCACTACCTGCTCGTGTGCCAGCCACCCATGTGAGAGGGAGGGATAGACAGAGGTGTTTGTTTACAAAGCAGCACAGCTGTAGGAGTGAAATATTCATGGAGCTGTTAATAACAGCACCAAAAAAAAAACACCTAGAAAGGGGGAAATGAGTAAAGAAAAAAAAAAATAGACTAAGGCTAGGCTTTGATATCCTATAGCACAATCACTTCCCCACCTCAATGTCAAGAACAGTCCTGCCAAGAGCATCCAGGTTAAAAAAAAAAAAAGCACCATACAAATCCATTTATTGAAAGTTTTTAATTCCAAGTTCAAGAAATTAAGTGGAAATCTTGCCTCTTTGCAACTTAAGGTTTAGGCTAAGTCCAAAACACTGCTCAAAACAAGTTCAAAACACTGTCCCAAATAAATATTGTAGAAAATATTTTGTATAAAATAAAAAAAAAATTATGACAGTTTCAGCAAATGGGTGCTGAGAAGTAGGACTTCGAGCTATCTTGTGTACATACTCAAAGCTTGAAAACCACATTTGAAAAAGCAAAAAAATTCTTAGAAAACCAGGGGGAAAAAAATTCCCCTGGATTGGAGAAAATCCTAGATGGGGGAGAAAATTATTTGCTTAGCCTGTTTCTTAAAAGCAATCACACACACAAAAAATCATTGAAAATCTGCCTTCAGAATCCCAGAAAAAGAGGAAAAAAAAAAAGAATTCCAACTTCATTCCATAAGTCTCTATAGGAAAAACATTTCTGTATTTTTCCTTGCGTGTATTCTCTAATTCTGCCTATTGCTCAAACTGCTGTACCCTCTGCAGGAGAAAAGATTTTACAAGCATATGAGGTTCTCTGCCAGTTGTTGGCTTACAATTCAACAGTGTGTGATACTCAAATGATCTTGAAATGGTGTGTAACATGCACTGGGAAATTTCTAAAACTCACTGATCAAAAATAGAAAAAAAAGAGTAATAGACTGATAGAAACCATCTGCTCTAAATTGATCCGTTTCTTTATGTAAGAACTGCACCATTAAAACTTGTTTTATATAAAAATTATTGTATCATTACATATTTATTTTTATTTCAAAATCACAAAAATGAAATACAATGTTTTTATTATATGTATGTGTGTGTGCATACATCTACATACAAAAAGAGAAAAAGGGAAGAAAAAAAAAAAAAAAAAAAAAAAAAAGCACTGGGCAGGTTTGTGCATCTCTTTCATTTAACCAGAACAGCCAAGCTCTTCTAACTTTCATCGTTGCTGGTACCACAAGCCCCACAAGCTCCTGGGCCAGGCTTATCAATCCAGGAATTCTACAGGTCTTTTGCTAAAGCAGCCAGCTGAACACTGGCATCATTCAGTAGCTTTGGTAAGAACAGCAGAAAAGTCTTCCACATGCTTGCTATTTCTTTGCATAGTTATAATATATATTCTTTGCATTAGTTATATATGCCTCTAATCTCCTGTTGGGTATGCTTCTGAATTTCCACAGTCCCAAACTTTCCTTTTTCAGTGCACCCAAAATACTGAACTAAGAATTTTACATCCTTTATTTAATGCATTTATTTACTCATGTGGAGATTAAGACATCTGTAAATTCTAGGAAGGCAATGTATGATTTTTAACCTCAAGCACCCTCTACCCCAAACAGAGCTGAAATGTTTGTTTTTAAAGGAGACTTTGGACTCCATATATCAATGACCAACAACTGTCATTGCATTTGCTAATAATGGATAAGACGATTAGTTTAATTAGTCAAGCAGTTAATGCTACTATTATTTGAACTAGTTTTCAGCTTTGACACCCTCTTAAAAAGAGTTTTATATTCCTCAGGTTGTAATTTCAGCCTGTTTACAGAACGTTATGTAGCACTGGTTCACAACAGTTGACCACAACACACCGTGCTAAATATACCAAATTAGCTTCACAATCAAGGACTGCAAAATGGTTTTAAAAAGCAAACATACTAACAAATTCTAAAGTAGGAAATTATAGTCTCATTTGGTTCACTCTTGTAAACAGCTGTGTGTTCTTACAAAAAAAAAAGAGGAAAATTCTTTGGGCTTTAAAAAGCATTTATTCTCTAAAAGATAAAAGAGAATCCTCATAGTCAGAGAAATTTCTAGTAATTTTGGAGAATAAGGTATCATTAATAGTTATCTGAAATTTTTGTTAGACACATCACTAATGTTTATGATTTAGGAAAAAAAAACACACATACAACTAGAAATGAGGAATTCCATTTGAACCCTAAGTCTTTTTCTCACCTCTCAATGGTATAAAAGAGCGAATACAGTACAGATAATTGCTGACATATTGGTGAGCTACAGAGAAGAACATTCATCCACAGCAGAGATGACTTAGCAGTCCCGAGTGCTTGAAATCCCATGCAATATTAATAGCTACTTTTCTTGCACAAGAAAAAATACTTGCAGCATATGACTACTGCAGATTTCTGTAAAATGCATGTGTACAAACAGAGAACTTTATTTCCTTTCATAAACATTCTGCAGACACTACATTACATCATTAGTAAATATTATCTTAGGAAAATGAAGAAGCTAATCCAAGACTGAATGACTATTCTTTGAGAGCAGGCAGACTGAGGGATGAATGCAAGTTTTCACCTTGGCATTAAAGCCTGTTCTGTACAATGTCACCTCAAAGATACGAAAAACAGTCATTTAAGTTACGTGACAGGGTCTCAAAATGTGAGACTGAAAACATTTCTGTGCAAGTTATGCATGAAAATACTTTTGTTTGCAAAAAATAAAAAAGTAGCTTGCACTCTGTTTATTGCATAAGATTATTTGACTTCTAATTATCAGTCCTTGCTTGACTTGCCTAACATACTGTGCGCACAAACATTTACATTTGAACATCAATAGCAATCAACTGTGAAACGTACATATTCATATCCTATTAATAATAATGTTCTACACCCTGACGTGTTTCACTTGTTAGCAGTTGGAAATTCTCAGAAGATAACATGCAGCTGCTACTACTTACACGAGTGCAGTGTTTATATATTACTGGTTCATAAACTGGAGATGTATTGACATCCCAGCCCCAGGTCTTCAGCGAGCACTGAGCCAGATAATGGGGAATTTGAATCAGCCTCTTCTGAACAAAGTCTGCTGTGAGGAGCTGGGCGATGATATCAGGAGTTTTTTGCCCATGTCCTGTACTTCCCCTTGAAGAAGTAGGGGTGAAGGAGATGGGACGGGGGAACTGTTGGTCTAGCAGGGCCTATTTAACACAACGCTTTTAAAATTAGCTTAAGTTAAAGATTTTTTTTAGATTTTTGGAAGTTTTTCTAGGCAGAAAAATTATACCTAATTTCTACTTTGAGACATTGATCTTCCTCAGCTCACACAATTTTTCTAGCCACATCTTCTCCGAATAAAAATATTTATATATAATACTCATGGGTATTAGAAGAAAAGTAAGATAATAGCATTTGCTTGCTATTTCACCATCTGGCAATCTTTTATTTATTTTTAAAGTTACGTATCATAAATACAACACTTGATGCTGCTATAAGCACACCTGAAGACAGCACGCTACATCAGGTAGCTAACTGGGTAGAATCCTGATAGGTACTGAGCTCTGCCAGCACAAATGGCAGTCTAGGAAAGTCCAAGCACGTCACATCATAGGATGAGGCAATGTTCTCAGAGCCTTCCAACAAAACAGCAGCAAAGTTTGCTTCCAACATTTAATAAATAATAATAATGAATAATAATACTAATTCCTCAACCCTTCCAAAATTGAACAGGCTTCTGCCTAAATAATCATCTTCTCTCCAGAGTGCTTAACATAAATCTTCTCCACTGCTTCCTGAGGCTCCTCCTCACCAAGAAAGTTGACGCGTCTCAACACAGTGAAATCATTGCTGCGAAAGCCAGCCTGCTCATTAAATTATTCTGCTAGCTGTGTGTCCTCTCATTAAAAATGCACACAGATCAGATAATTGCAGCACATATTAGTAACCTTGTTTTCACATAAAGATCCCGTTTTGTTGCCAAGACAAAGACCTGGAAATAGCAGGGGAAATACTCGACTGAACTACATTACCAGAAACTAACAGCTTGCCTTCAGGAGCACAAGGAATCACTGCGCAGCCCAAAACGCCTGGACTTTTGTAATGGAGTGAAACGCTGTAAGCTTATCCTACTGCTCCTTCAAGCTCCAGGCAGACCGTCCCGGCTTTAGTTAAAGCCTCTGATAGGGAATTATTTAGACGAGCCATTCTAATTCACAGAAATCTTCAAACATATCTGCTATAAACTTCACAGATTTCCAGGTTGACTCATTCTCTTTATTAAGGCTAGCAAGCACTGCTAGGCGACAGCCCGGCTAAAAATCCAATTAGGGTACAGCACTTCTGAAACACACTGACCTATTTCTGTTATTTGCTCGTGTTATTTTTAATATACTCACTATCTATTCCTGAAGAGAGCTGTTTGCGGCGTAAACAAAGTCCCTCTGAAAGCAAGTTGGCATAACACCCGCATATTGCGCCCTAACAGCAGGTATTCACCGGGGAAATCTCGCCTGCCCGACTGCCCCAGGCAGCACAGCCGGTATGCAGCACACTGCAGCAAACTCTTAGAACACTCGACAACAGACAACAGTCCTCCTACCTTGTTCAGCTCCGTCTATTCGGCACGTTTCCAATGTGAACAGAAACATCTGACATCAACAAACAGCCGCGCCTTTCCCATCGCATCATTGTGATGAATGGATGTCACGCCAAACGATTAGCCGTCCATTTTTTTTTTTCTATTTTTTTTTTTTTTTTTCCTTGCACTCAGATAGCCCTGAGCCTTATCAGGGGATTTTTCCTCAGATGATGAAGCAAAGACACAGCCTAAACTCTGTTGCTGGAGGACTGCAGCCCTTCCTTCTCTCAGAGCCCTCCCAGCATATGGCAGCCAATCACGCTCCGCATCGTCAGCCCTGTCGCTCTCGAACCCGCTGGATGGGGGTGATTGACACGGCAGCACGGCGCTCCCAACGTGGAAAAACAACACATCCATGCTGATGAACCAGGAATCTCCCTCGCACAGGAGAGGGCTTCTGCTGGCGAGGTAAAGCAATACCTCCATGAAGCACCACATGCGGCAAAAGCAAACAACTCCCCTCCCCTGCATCACAGCGGCAGCTCGGTGCCAGCTTGTGCGAGGATTTTAGAAGCTTCTCCTGATCATAAACGCATGCACAAACAGTATTACTGAAACTGCAGAACTGCAGCGAGGCTGTTTTATTGGGAAAGGTTTGCCACGTACCGTAAATGAAACAATCTGCCTTTTATTCTAACATGCAGCAAAACCGCACTCCCATCCAGCTCGCAATGTTCTCACTTAAATACTGCATGATCCCACTGTGCAGCGCGCTCATTTAGCAGCAACACACACAGGCAGCATTTTTCAGAACATTTGAGACCAGGTGCTATGAGCTCCAGGTATGGGATTCTCCTTGATGAGGACACGACCTATTTGGTGGTGTTTTAATACCCCTGGCAGACAGATGACACGAGCAGCGCCCACAGCCCAGTAGAGTGAGTGGCTCACCACTAATGCCTGTCAGTACTGAGGCTGTGAAACCAGTTGCCATTTTTTGGCCATGCCCAGGGCAGATCAGTATGCTTGGGACACAGGGTCTGGTGTTTTCTCACAAATTCTGCTGAAGTTTTAAACCAAAAGTGCAATGCAGCAAAGGATTATTGAACATGAGTTGCAATTAAGAAAGAATACAAAAAGGAGCTTAACCGGGAAGTCAATCTTCATCCAAAAAGGGATAAAGATTGCAGTGCAATACTACTTTAGACAGTAGTTAATGTAGTTCAATCCCTTACATAAAAACGTGTAAAATGTATCTAAAATTCCACCGAAAGTTTAAAAATATGAATAGACGAGAGGAAAACAAAGCCCTCATTCAACCAGCAGCTCTGTCCCAAGGCCCCATTGTTTCCTATCGCCTGTTTTGCATATTATAAACGAAGCTTTCCAAAATCCATTACCCTGCCATCCCGCAAGCAAAAACTCTCCTTCAGGCTTCATCATTTCCCCTCCAATTTGTCAAGGTCTGCCCCTTCCAGCACTGCAGGCCCCCTGCCGCAGCCCCCTGCCGGCTGCCCCTCGTGTCCCCGCCATCTGACCATGACACACTCCTCCTCTCTCCCCCCTCCTCCATTCCAGCAAGTTCAGGCTTCTGCTGGCTCCTGCTGCTGGCTTCTGCCTAGAGACTCCTACAGGGCAGCCCTCCCTTCTCTGCTGAATCACCCCCTCCATTCCACTCTAATGTTCAAAAACAGACAAAAATAACCCTAAACAGTTGGTTCCAGCAGGCCTCGAGAGACCTGGAGCTGGGTCGCGCTGCTGGCAAGGCTGGCGACTCAATCTATGATCGAGGTGGCCCAGCGCGTCTCGTTGGGATTTTCCACAGTCTTCTGACTTTGCCAGACTCGAGCTGCCTGTGTTAAAATTTTCCATGCTGGACATCTGCTGCAGGATTTATTTACTTTTCTGCCAAAACGCAGTTTGCCCATTTCTGAGACAGGCTAGACAGAAACACGTTGCTCTGCCATTCTTATAACCCACTGACTGGAGAACTCTGCCCCCTCCCCTCAAAGGGCAGTCCTGAAAATTGGCAGTTCTCTCCTTACTTTTTCTTTTATTTTTCAACGCTACATCTTTTGCTGTTCTTATAAAAATATTGTCCTATCTGATAAAGCTACGGGACCTGACAAAACGGTGCTGATATATCATCGTATTTTTCCTTTTGAGCTCTGCAATGTAAATCCACCACCTCCTCCGAATGGCCGTATGTGGCTGGAAAGGCACCAGCCCCACAGTGCGACTGAGCGTGTAACAGGCTCAAGTTACAGGAGATTAGCAGGATTTCCCCTGTAACTGCTGCTCCCATCTGCCAAAGACCAGACATTGGAAGTGACAGCAGGAAGACAACCTCATCTGTTGCTTTCGTGACCCTTTGGCTTGTGCCCCACGGATGTGCAGGAGACAGAGCCTTGAGAAAGCACTGCAGTAGGGTGTGAGAACGGTCGAGGGGACCAAAATATAGCATGAAGCTGGGCAGGAGAGGAGAGATGGCAATCAGAGGAAGGGGAGAAAGAGAAGCGAGAGACTGAGTCTGGAAATCCCAGGTCTGGTTGAGCAAAAGGTTATAACAAGGAAGCAGAAAGTGCCTGAGCTGGATGAGAAGCACAGAGCAGCCAGCACTGAGCACCAACAATTCCAGCACAGCCAAGAGATGAGAGATGACACTGAGGCAGGGACAAAACAGTGATGGAGCCTGATGACCCCAGAGCACCCCCAAAGGGTCCAAAGAAGAGGATGAGCAGCACAGATACCAGCATTCCACCCACAGACGAACAAGCCCTGCACAGTGGAGATCCAGGTCGGTCATGGCGCCCAGCCCAGGCCCAAGAGGGCTGCAGCTCTCTCCTCTCCAGCAGCACACACTGCCACGGTCCTCCTTTCCCTATGAAGCAATGCGGCAGCGTACACAAAGAATTTCCATGGGTAGTTAGTTTGCTTCTAAGAAGCTTGCAAGTTAACTGCAAAAACAAAGTTAAATCTAGACAAGTTGGCTGCAAGCTCAGGGCTTCAGGTGAAGTCAAACCATTGTTCAGGATCTCCAAAATCTGACACCTAGGTCGCTAGAATTATATATGCAAAACCAACAGCCACATGCTCACCTGGATTCTTGTGTGGATTACTTTACATGATTACATTCTAGTTCTTCCCTCCTCAAGAGATCAGAAGCCTCTCAAATCACACGATGTATGTCTCAGCCCTTCAGCCAGACTCCGTCAGAAAACTCAAGAGAAAATATGTAATCTTCCTTAAAAATGGTGTCTGAATAGCATACAGCAAGGCATGAGTTCAAGGGCTAAAGAAAAAAAATGTATATTTAAAAATATGTCTGCTGTACACTGAGCAAAGAGTTCCAGAGTGATTGATCTGAATTTGAGATGTAGCCATCCAATCATGCATTTTTCACATCAGTTACAAAGAAAAAGGACAGGATTTCAGTTTTCAGATCTACTTATACAATTGCATTGTATATTTAATTGCAATATGACAAAACTCTTAGAGAAGCAAAGAAATTCTGATGTCAAACTCAAAAAAGATGATCAAATAAAGGTACATTCTGAACAAAGAAAATACCATCTGCTCTGTTTCACAGTCTCCTGTACTTAATGATTCAATGTAAACACACTGCTAAAGGCGACTTACAACTTTCTGAAGGGTACAGATATAGCATTGCCAGAAAACTGGACTATTTTGGAAGTAATAAAGTTGTAGTAAAATGGATCAAGCAAAAACTGCACTTTTTTTTCCCTTTTTTGCTCTTCAGTGATAGCTATTAGAGCTAATACCAGAAACCAACAAAACTTGATTTTAGCAGAGTTATGCAAAAAGAGTGGACTATAGATATCACTAACATTTAACATGACAAGTAACTTACATGATACTGGCTACAGCACAAAGAAGATTTTGAGCCGAGCATAGGTGACCTACAGCAATGGTGACATCTTTGTAAATTGAGCAATGGCAGGAACAACTTCAAAACTTTCTTGTGTCAGTAATAGACTCTTCCCACAACAGCTAGCACCAGCAAAATTCAACCTTAGTAACTATGATCTGAATGACAGCAGAAAAGAAAATTCAAGGCAGCTGCCAAGAGTTTAAATCTAGACACCTAGACCTATTCACAGGCAATGTCACTGATGCCAGTCTTTGCAAAATACCTCACTATTTCTGAGGCACTGGGGCTGAAGTGATGGCAGGAATCATAGTAAGTTACGAAAATAAGATCTCTAGTACTGCCAAAACTGAAGTTACTGACAAGAAGCAAGTATGCTACCAAAAGGACATTGCTAGGTCAATTATTATTGTTATTTTCTAAATATTCTTATTATAACAACTTAGAGTCGAGGATTTTAACTGGTTTGACTTTCAAGTACCCGGGCTTCCCAACATCTCCCTAACCCAGAAAACCTTGAAATGGAGTGTACACAAACATGAAAACAGACTGTTCTAGTCTCACCAACTACAATGAGAATAATATGAAACAGTAAGATATCACCTAAGTAAGCACATATTCAAGTCAGAGGTTAGGATTCACCTTACCAGACTTGAGGTGCCTTCTGGAGGTCTTCCAAATCCTCTCTTTTCTCTCGCTGGTTGTGCACGGAATTTAAGCCATGTCTGAACTGTGAGATCCAAATGCATGGGTTCAGGCATGTACCCTGGCTGTATCCTGACTTTATTCTGGGATGACACCAATTCCCCACCAGCATGAAAACTGAGTATACACGCACTCTTCCCTCTGGTAGAGGCTGCAGTTTGAAAGGGTAATGACCATGCCAGACAGAAGAGAGCTGCAGAACACCGCAACCAGGTTTTATAGCTGAATGTTTGAGAGACATAGCCTGGGTGCACCAGAGGGCTGAGCTGCCTCTGAATGTAGCCTTATGCACTTGGCTTGAAATATACATGACCAAATATAAACACAACCACATCTCAATGAGTCATTCTACTCCTCCTTTCTCTTTATAGTCACTGAAGAGAAATAGGCATTTGTAGGCTGTGATTCATCATATACCAAAGTAGATATTCTAAGAGATTCTTCCATATCTTAAAAGCGTTCTGCCTCTGTTACCTGAGATGGCCATCCTCATATTAATTCCTTTCTTAAAGAAATAAAAAGTGAAATCATACCACAGAAGCAGCTTTATTAAGAACCTAAGAACTGAAGACACTGAAGTTACATGCTCTGGATCGCACTTTAGATTTTCAAAATAATTTCAAGTAAATTAAATACACAATCATATATCTTAAGAACACGTGTATTTTGACAATGCACAGTTACAGCTTTGGTGTAAATCCTCAGCTTCCTATAAGCATGTTCCAGTTATGCTGCTATATAAGCTACACAAGTTGTTCTCTAAGCTATGCTGAACGTGCTCCAGGTTTTCTTTCCCTGACTGAACATCAATCCCTACACTCCCCCATGCTTTCTTCCTCTGAACAACTGATTGACACCAAATTAACCTAAAAGGAGTTAGACTAAGTTCTTTATGATTTTCTTTCAGGTTCTCAAGGGAAATTTTTTAGGAGGGAAGGTTGGTAAAACAAATGATTTCTTGCTGTTTCTCACTGTATAAGCTTAGAAATATACACTAGCAAAGTACTAAACTAGGCAAAACAAACTGGCAAACCACCTATATTAACTAGCTCTTTGAATGCCTACTTACACTAAAGTTTCATTAAAACAGTGATTCTGTGTTTCTTCATGACAACTAAAAAAAGCTGAGGATTTTGAAGTCCACTGATCTGAAATACCAAATATATCAGATCAAGTCCAACTGTCAACCCATCACCACCATGCTCACTAAATACTGTTACAGACATTTGATGCCAGCTTAGATTCCCAAGTGAGAGCCAGAGTGGCCACTGCTGAAAAATGGTGCCACTGGTATGCCCTGGGTTGTAGCTGTCAGCCCCATGCAGTTATCTCAGACATAAAATGGTCTATTGTTATTTTAGAAGTCATATATTTGAGTATTTGAACCCATCCAAAAACCTAAATGATTTCCTCAATATGCATTAGAATCACAGTATTATAAAGGCTGGCAGGGACCTCTAGAAATCATCAAGTCCAACTCCCCTCCCAAAGCAGGTTGCACAGGTAGGCATCCAGGCAGCTCTTGAATATCTCCAGAGAAGGAGACTTCACAATCCCCCTGGGCAGTCTTTTCCATCCGACTCTTTCAGAAAGATTTAAGAGTCGCACCTTCATCAAGAGCTTCTGAACTCTACTCAGAAGAACAGTTCTATGAGTCAGAAGGAATCACATGGTAAAAGCACCAACACTGCAAGCAAGATGCATCTTCCTCCTTGCTAATTGATTTCATGTCCTTTATTTTATACAGCATCTACCAGAACCAGGGAATTAGCTGGTGGGAGTCTTGCACTGTGCCTATATGTCTTCAGCATCCAGTTGGCAACAATGCCAAGGTGTAAGTCACCACTATTCAGTACTCCTTAGCAAGACCATTGTGTATTGGGAAGTTCTTCCATTGCTGATAAAAACACACTCCTTCCTCCTCAGATCCCTCCATGACTAACTTCCTCCACAGCTATTGTTCTGGCCTCATATTTGGAGTTGCTCCCGTTCAAACCTACAGCAAGAGGAAACCACTTGATAAATCACCTTGTCAGAGAACCTAAATGCCTCATCCCCAAAGTCACATAGGAGAAGTCCCTTGAATTTCAGGCCACCTAGCTGAAGGCTGCATAAAAGAAACTTCTGCCCCTTATTCTGAGAAGCTAGAATTTGGTGGCTTCCCGTAACAGCTAGCCTATCAGGAAGAAATAGAACTAAGATTAGTCTTCTAAAAAGTTCCTAAATTACCAGAAATAATCCTTCACATAACTACCTGAAAAAAACTAGCCTATTCCAATTATGTTTTTTTAATAGGCAAAGCAAGTATTTTTTAAATCTTCTATGAAGATTCAGTTATCAGCCTCTAACGTAATCCAGATCCTGCACGTAATTCAAGCAATGGCTGCAAATAATACAACTTTTGACCAGTGATGTAATGAGGACTCTTAAATTATCCTTTAAATCCACAAGTTCTATTTTATTTCTCCATGTTAAACCCAAAGGGGAAAATGCGTCACTGAACAAAGCTGCATTTTGAATCTCTCCATCTTAAATTAACACGATAATAATTCAGCTTAGTCTGACTGTCTAAAATTATTCTGTTGTTTTTAAACACTGCTACAAGGTAGGTGCAAAATGTCCCATTGCTATTTAGCAGGTGATGCTAGCTGCCATTTCCCTGCAAGCTGCCACTTAACAGCATGAGCCTGTAGGGTAGATGCTCAGGGGCATGCAGCAAAATCAGCAAGCAATCTCCACCGTAAGCAGAGAAAACAGGCACCAGGAGACTACAGAAAAAAAAAATAAATAAAGAGAGAGAGAAGCAACTGAATATTTTTTGCTTTTTAAAATCAGTAAGAGCAGGATTGAATCCCTCATCCTTTCACAGCAACTAATGACCTGCACATGTAAAAGTAGAGGACTCCATGTAATTAACAAAGCATTGCATTGGCAAGGAGGATAGGCCTGGGGTATGTAAAGTACAGGGTTTTATTTCTTTCTGTGAACTATGGATGACAGGTAGGAGAAAGCTATGCCAAGCGAACTGCTGGCAAGCAACTAGTCTTTTGGTTAGCAGGCAGCTCTGCTTTGTGAGGTCTATCAGTTCGTGTTCACATAGGCAAGCTTTTCTTTGAACATCAGAATTACATGCATTCAAGCAGTCACAAATTTTACATCAAATTTCAATTTTCACCTCAAAAAGGTTGATTTGTTACAGCTTGCTGTATGGTTACTATGAAGCTTTTATGTGTACAATGTTTTAAAACATTGCATGTGGTTCTTTGCCTAATTATTCTGCCATATAACACTACATAAATATACACGATCATGGATCTTTATTTTTCCTGACGTCGTATTATGTTAACAGAAACCAAGAAAATGAATATCTGTCCACAGAGGAAGAAACAAGAATTGCTTTCACTCAGGAAAAACAGGCAAACAAGGAGTAATGAAGGGCAAGAAACAAGGTCCTTTAGCAGAAGCACTAGGTGGGGATAAAATGGCATCCGAAAACCCTGATCTCCAATGACAGTACAGCTCCAGCAGCAAATTTCAAGATTTAACCCCACCACCTCAAGAATGAAGTAAATTACAAAAAGAGTGCCTCAAAATCAAAATGCACA